CCAGAAACATGGCGCCTCAACCAAAAATCCTGGCCACGCCCCCTCTCGTGAAATCATGCTCCAAAGCCCTATATGTAAGCGAGTATATGGAAATATGTGTGTGTATGTATGTACGGATGCATATGTATGTTTGCAGATGTATGTATAACTTGTACATATCTTTCTTGTGTAAATGTAAATTTGTCGGTTATTGTTAAATACTTACGCTATTGTGTACATCACACACATGGAGAAATGCCAAACTACCTTTCATTGTTCTTGTAACAGTGACAATAAAAAGCTATTATATTCTATTCTACTGCATTACTCGAGGCTAAACAAAGAAATAAATAAAAGGCATTAATATCCATGAGAAGGAGCATAGGTTAGCCTGCTATGCAGATGATATTTTAATATTTTTGGGTCAACCAGCAAACTCTCTCCCTAAATTAATGCTATTGTTACAGGCCTTCTACGGGGTTTTTTTTTATTTAACAGAAAAGCAGAGACAGGAGACATGAGTTGTGTTCGGTCTGCAGGCTCTTTCTCGTCTGATTTATTAAGAGAATTAAACAGCGTTCTTTTCTTTTCATTTAGACACACACATTTCTCTTTTAACAACACAAACACATTCAATTAGGTCCATAGGTTAAACCCTTTTGGTTACCTTGCTGTCTTGCAAGAATAAACTTACAAAATAATCATTGTATATGAGTGTCCTTATTTACAATAAATCTGTAACCAAATTCTACTGCTGTTCAGCATCAATAACACTGCAATTAGCACGCTTATATTACCATTATACATTCTTTATACCTTAATAGATTCAAACAATATATTACATTTGTAAACAATAAACAAAAATATTCTACCATTGCTCACAAACAGTTTGCAATCGTCCACAAAACAGCATACATCAGACTATTTACATTTGACACATAATAACTGGGTAGGTGGGAATAATCTTAATCAACTGTAGCTTCCAATAACGTGAGGATAAAAGAGATGTGTCTAGGAGTTGCATTTGTCATAAAATAAAACGTAATAAGACCAGTTACCTCTTTAAACTACAAGTGAAATCGCAGCTTCCATTACAAATGGCGGTACATTTGTAATGGACGAGGTTAGCTTTTTCTCAATCTGTCACAGAACACAAACACAGAACATCTCTCACAACATTCGCAGTCTTTAAACTAAGACAGAAAAAGGTTTCTTACCTTTATGTATGTGTTGCAGTTAGCAAACTTGAACTACTAACCTGTTTTTTGAACAGAAAGAGACATGAGTTGCGTTCCGTCTGCAAGCTCTTTCTCGTCTGAGGCACAGAAGCGTTGCAGCGGCCTATCGCACTCACCACTATCTCCCACTTGTGGCAATGCCACGTAATTACATTCTCCATAACTCTAAATGAAAAGTGCAATACCACCATGAAATAAGGCCTTTTACATCAGGTGTCACACACTCCCCAACAAAAAGAAAATGGCTCCTGACATTTAACCTCTTACCCTTTAAAACTCATTATACTAATTATTCAAACAATTTGCGGCAAAGCTACGAAGTGCAAAAGAAGAAGAACAGACAGGAAGGGGGAGCAGGTGAAAGGCTTCTATATGATGGGATGAGTCAGGACAGCTGTGAGTCCATCATAAAAT